ACACACACACACACACACACACACACACACACACACACACACACACACACACACACCTGTGTAACACAGCCAGTGGAAATAAATATTAAGTTTAAGGGAAAGTGTCTTTAAGGCTCATTCACCTTGCCACAAATACACACAAATAATCACTTATACATACTTCTGACTTCAATTAAAAGTATTTGGAGGTGCGTTACTGGAAATTGGCAAGCCATTTTAAAAGCACAGATTAACCAAATGTTTTCTTCATTTCCGACAAACCCCTCGCAGCGACCCTACAGTCATCACAACCTAAAGCGGGTGTAGTTTTCCTCAGACTGTTTCATTACCACCTTTTCCGATAAAGGTTTTACAAATGCATCGCGCCACTCGAGCGTTCATATCCATCAAATATTGAACAAATACCATATCGTCCGTTACAGGACTGGCTGCATTTCCTTAAGACACAAACACAGGAGTGCAATTTTCATGAGGAGCAGAAATGCACCCTGACTTATCAAACAGTTTGCTGTCTTGCCTAAAGGAGTGAGTGCATGTGTGTGTGTTTGTCTTTTATCAGTCTATGTGAATGTCACTGTGTGTGTGTGTGTTTGTGTGTGTGTGTGTGTGTGTGTTACACTGACACAGTCATGTAGCTAGCTCGGCTCGAGGGTAGGATTAGCGGAGAGCATTGCCTTGGCCCACAAACATTCCATATTAAAAAATGAAAAGGCAACCTTCATTACTATCAGTGGCACATAACCTCCCCTCTTCCTCCTCCTCTGCTACTATTATACACAGCCATAACAGCCTGGGCAGAAAATACAAGCCACTGACAAGAGATTCCATTATTTCCTGATGCCTCAGTGTCAACAACATACATCTGACGGGGCAAAGAAAGCAAAAAAAAATGGAGGAAGGGAAAAGGATGTTAGAGAGAAAGGAGGGGGGTTAAGCTCACTACAATGCCTGAATGAAAGATAGGAGGAAACCTGGGAATGGAAGCATTCAGCTTCCTGTTGGTACTGGAGTCAGGAGGAGGATTTTGGGTTTCACAGATGTGATTTTGGGAGGGTGATGTGAGATCTGAAATAACGGTGATGCTGCTCAACAATGACAGAGATAATTAATAAGCTCTCACAGGATAATGTGGAGCTACAGAACAATTCTAGAGTGAGGTTGTTGTCTTTACTGTAGATGTGGACCATGAGCAAATATTTAGTTTACTGTAGATAGGCAAGACAATATTACAAATGCTTTCGATCAAGTGGGAAGCACGGGTAAAGCCACTTTATTAAATAAATAAAGACACAAATTCTCCACTTTATTCAAAATTAAAGAAAATGTTCAACTGAGCTACTCGAGATAAGCTGAAACCATAAGTTGAAAAGACGCATCTTACCCTACCTCCTTAAAAGGTTTCCAGGAAACATTAATGAAATTAATTTCTTATTTACAAAACAGATGGACAGTCTGAAAATAAAATATATTTCAGTTTTTACACACTGATCAAATCTACCATTTATAATGGAAATGCAAAAAAGAAGTTTTGTAAAAGAACAGCGACAATTTACATCTGTAAGACTCAAAAACAGTCTTTAGCTGTAGAAATACGTTACATTTGGAGCGTGATCGTCAGCACACACTGTGGCGGTTTGTAGTGAAACTATTGGGATAAAAGTCAGCAGCTCCAAGGCGGAGGTTCTCTGCCAGAAAAAGGTGGATTGTTTCCTCTTGGTTGGGGGAAAGTGGCAGTCCCAAGTGAGGGAATTCAAGTTTCTCAGGGTCTTACTTATTTAATGACTGTAAGGCGACCTGTGAAGTGGTCAACGGTAACTTCCAGTCTCAACTGGATAGTCATGGTGAAAGGGGAGAAGACATCTAGAACACCCTAAATAGTTTGATGCCACTGGGACTAAACTTCAGATAATCATAGGTGGATGGGTGGATGGTAAGATTTTGCTTCCAGTCATTAGTTAATAAAGCAACTTTTAATTGCTTATTGTAGACAAGTCTTATACCTTTTGCCCCACTAACAGTGTGGAGAATTGCAGAGTCAAGGGTAAAAATCTGAAAGAAAGTCTACTAAACTGTACCCAAATGAAGATCAACAAATGTAAACAAAGTCACGTGGCATTAAACATGGGGGCTAAAGCACACAGAGGCCACCAAACTAGCCTTTCTGAGTCGTAAAAAAAAGACACAAGTCAAACATTTTAAAGTGGCAGCTTTGTCTCTCACTCTGGGGCATGACGCTTCAATGGAAACTTAACTGGGCTCAACCCAATGACATAAACCCACGACTCTGTGGAGAGAAAAGAGCTTCCGTGTCTTTCCAATCTCACTTTCGAGGCTTCAAAGCAGTGTCAGAGTGTCAGATTTGAGGAGGTGTTGAATCTCATACTCTTTAAAACTTGTAATCCGCTCAAGGAGCCTAAGGCAAAAAAAGAAAAAAAAGGAAAGGAAAGTCCATGCACACACACATACACACAGTGCAAAGTACACACAAGACACACATACTGTAACATGCATGCAAACAGCAGGGACATACACACTTACTGTATGGATAACAACATCTTAGAAATGGTAGCCTAACACACTCCTCTTATCCAAGATACACATACTTGGGGGAAAAATTAATACCTGCTCATATTTAAGAGGATAGGGTTGGTGCACTTAAGTGGCCTGTCCATCCTGCTACAGAA